GGAAAGAGCGTTCGCTCGCCGTCGCGATCAGAGTTTTCGGTCGGCAAGCCGGAGTTCACCACGGTGATTTCGACGCGTGTGAAGGCCGTCTCTTCTTCGGACAGAGAAAACGCGACGTAACGCGATCCGACGCCATTCTTTACATTCTACCCGTCCCAGCCATTTTTATCCATTTTCTTCTCGGTATTTCTCGACTCGTTTGTAGGAATATATGGTGCGCAGTGTAGGAATATATTGGAAATATCGCGTTAGATTTCACGATTTTTCTCTATTTTGCAATTCTATTATTGGGTGACGAAAATGAGCAGATCTCAGTGCACGTGTGTTCCCGGAATATTGTTCTGTCATCTTGTAATGTATCGCTTCTCTGGTGATCCTTCTCTTTCCTTCTTTGGGGGGCGTTTTTACGCGTTTTCTACGTAAGATTTATAGTGGCGTAATAGGATCGTAATTTATACGCTGGATGTTACCACGTATGATTAAATTCCACGGAATCGGTACAAAATTTAATTCGATGATTAAAGCCGAGGAGACCTTACCGTAACATTACTTAAACGTTGTTAGAGATATTCGAGGATCTTCATTACATCTCGATAAGCACGCTAATTACGCGTCTTAACTCTCGATTAACCTGATATTTTTGCCTGAAAGTTAAGAAACGAAATACCCGTAATCGCATAATGAATTCGAGCCGAAGAACTCTTAATTACACGGTAGCTTTAATCTGATTGCCTTCCCCGGAAAGCTACTTTTAAACTCCACGTTCGGCGAACGTGCATTAAAAGTTGTCGAAAATTCTTGCCGTGTAACGAAAGATAAGTGTAGGCCGTCGATGAACCGCAGACAGCCATTTTGAACTCGTGTCTTAAGGAGAATCGTCCCGTAGATTTAATCTCGCCGTCGAAAGGAGTTCGAGTCGCCGATATGTCAGACGTCTCACTTCCAATGAAACGTAAATGGGATTTGACCGTGAAAACGACTCGTTAAAATCGTAACGCGATAATACCAGTGAAAATAACGATTCAATCGTGTAATAAAATAACGACGCTATAAATTATCAAAGAAATGCTTAGGCGATTTTAAATATTCTTATTTTTAACATTGATTCAATACTTTTGATCGTTTTAAAGGTTGGAAAGAATTCTGTAATTTTACAGGTAAAGCGTAAATTTTCTTTTAAATTATTAAAGTCTGATAAATTGATCCGATTACCAGTGGTTCTCAACTATGAATTCTTAAAACACACGGTTTTTTCTAAAATCGAAGCCTTGGGGTAGCTTGAATATTATTTATTGCATAGACACGAGGACAGACTAAATAATTTGATCCCTTAAAGAAAGTAGCATTGAATATGCACTGTATCAATTTCTAACCACAATGTACATCAAAAGTGAAATATCAATGTCATAAACAAATTGAAACTCACATCAAAGCTGCTATTATACATCACACTCTGCGTTAATTATACTCTCCACATGCAGCACTGTACCATTACTTAAACCACCGTGCATAAAACTAAAATTACACGTCCATCCGAATGCTTGTACCAGGTCGAAGGGAAATTATCTTAACTAAATTATCTAATA